GTAATGCACCTGTATGTATTACAACTCTACTTGGAGGGTAGGGGACGGGGAGGTGGGGGGTGAGAGCTTGTTGTTCAACAGGTACTCAACAAAGATTTGGGCGGAGATTCAAGGAAACGGAAGATGGAATTCGCCAAAATATTTAACTAAGTTTTAACTCAGGCTAACTGGTGATTTAGCAGTCAATGAATACGTAATGACTAAGGATTCAACATGAATGTAGAAGGGACTGATGTGTCTGGCTGGCAATAGCCAAGGAGCTGGAAACTATGACATTGTGCATTTTACAGAGCCACGTAGCGGGATGCTACCAACGGTCTCCACGCCTTGACTCAAAATGCACAAAGACAGAAACGAATAACTGCATTACCCGGGGGTACTGACTGCGTGCGGGGTGTCTGCTCTGTCCTCAGTGACATTGTCAACACATTTACAGATATTGTCAACACATTTACAGATATTGTCAACACATTTACAGATACTGTCAACACATTTACAGATATTGTCGTAAGGCCACTGCACAGGAAAAGATAGAAAGGAGAAAAGCCCGGTGCTCTTACAAGCGTCCACACGCACACACGTATATTTAGACATTGCAAAGCAAAGTATATAATTAATTATTATTCTACAGTTTTTATCAGTTGGAATAGATTGTTTAAATAGTTGGAAATTCCGAAGCTATGGAAACCTGCTGATCAACTCACAGGCTCAGTTTGCAAAGTTTTAAACAGCCGTGAGTCGGTCTATAGTTGGACCGAGTGTTGATCACAGAACCAACAAAGACTGTATGCAACCTGTATCAACACAGACTGTATGTAACCTGTATCAACACAGACTGTATGTAATCTGAATGTAACACAGACTGTATGTAACCTGTATGTAACACAGACTGTATGTAACCTGTATCAACACAGACTGTATGCAACCGGTATGTAACACAGACTGTATGCAACCTGTATGTAACACAGACTGTATGCAACCTGTATGTAACACAGACTGTATGCAACCTGTATGTAACACAGACTGTATGCAACCTGTATGTAACACAGACTGTATGCAACCTGTATGTAACACAGACTGTATGTAACCTGTATGTAACACAGACTGTATGTAATATGTATCAACGAAGACTGTATGTAACCTGTATCAACATAGACGGTATGTAATATGTATGCAACACAGACTGTATGTAACCTGTATGTAACTCAGACTGTATGTAATATGTATCAACACAGACTGTATGTAATCTGAATGTAACACAGACTGTATGTAACCTGTATGTAACACAGACTGTATGTAACCTGTATGTAACAAAGACTGTATGTAATCTGTATCAACACAGACCGTATGTAATCTGTACCAACATAGACGGTATGTAACCTGTATGTAACACAGACTGTGAATAATCTGTATCAACACAGACTGTATGTAATCTGTATTAACTCAGACTGTATGTAACCTGTATGTAACAGACTGTATGTAACCTGTATCAACACAGACTGTAAGTAACCTGTATCTAACACAGACTGTATATAATCTGTATCAACGAAGACTGTAAGTAACCTGTATCAACATAGACTGTATGTAATCTGTATGTAACACAGACTGTATGTAACCTGTATGTAACACAGACTGTATGTAATCTGTATCAACACAGACTGTATGTAATCTGAATGTAACACAGACTGTATGTAATCTGTATCAACACAGACTTTGTATGTAACACAGACTGTATGTAACCTGTATGTAACACAGACTGTATGTAATCTGTATCAACACAGACTGTATGTAGTCTGTACCAACATAGACGGTATGTAACCTGTATGTAACACAGACTGTGAGTAATCTGTATCAACACACACTGTATGTAATCTGTATCAACACAGACTGTATGTAACCTGTATGATACACAGACTGTATGTAATCAGTATCAACACAGACTGTATGTAAACTGTATGTAACCTGTATCAACACAGACTGTATGCAACCTGTATCAACACAGACTGTATGTAACCTGTATGTAACACAGACTGTATGTAACCTGTATGTAACACAGACTGTATGTAACCTGTATCAACACAGACTGTATGTAACCTGTATCTAACACAGACTGTATGTAACCTGTATCAACACAGACTGTATGCAACCTGTATCAACACAGACTGTATGTAACCTGTATGTAACCTGTATCAACACAGACTGTAGACTGTATGTAACCTGTATCAACACAGACTGTATGTAACCTGTATCAACACAGACTGTATGTAACCTGTATCAACACAGACTGTATGCAACCTGTATCAACACAGACTGTATGTAACCTGTATCAACACAGACTGTATGTAACCTGTATCAACACAGACTGTATGTAACCTGTATCAACACAGACTGTATGTAACCTGTATCAACACAGACTGTATGTAACCTGTAAGTAACCTGTATCAACACAGACTGTATGTGTATTCACTGTAGTAACCTGTATCAACACAGACTGTATGTAACCTGTATCAACACAGACTGTATGTAACCTGTATCAACACAGACTGTATGTATGTATCAACACAGACTGTATGTAACCTGTATCAACACAGACTGTATGTAACCTGTATCAACACAGACTGTATGTAACCTGTATGTAACACAGACTGTATGTAACCTGTATCAACACAGACTGTATGTAACCTGTATCAACACAGACTGTATGTAACCTGTATCAACACAGACTGTATGTAACCTGTATCAACACAGACTGTATGTAACACTGTATGTAACACAGACTGTATGTAACCTGTATCAACACAGACTGTATGCAACCTGTATCAACACAGTACCTGTATCAACACAGACTGTATGTAACCTGTATCAACACAGACTGTATGTAACCTGTATCAACACAGACTGTATGCAACCTGTATCAACGAAGACTGTATGTAACCTGTATCAACACAGACTGTATGTAACCTGTATCAACACAGACTGTAAGTAACCTGTATCAACACAGACTGTATGTAACCTGTATCAACACAGACTGTATGTAACCTGTATGTAACCTGTATCAACACAGACTGTAAAGTGTATCAACCTGTATCAACACTGTAGACTGTATGTGTAACCTGTATCAACACAGACTGTATGTATCACCTGTATCCTGTATCAACACAGACTGTATGTAACCTGTATCAACACAGACTGTATGTAACCTGTATCAACACAGACTGTATGTAACCTGTATCAACACAGACTGTATGTAACCTGTATCAACACAGACTGTAAGTAACCTGTATCAACACAGACTGTAAGTAACCTGTATCAACACAGACTGTATGTAACCTGTATCAACACAGACTGTATGTAACCTGTATCAACACAGACTGTATGTAACCTGTATCAACACAGACTGTATGTAACCTGTATCAACACAGACTGTATGTAACCCTGTATCAACACAGACTGTATGCAACCTGTATCAACACAGACTGTAACCTGTAACCTGTATGTAACCTGTATCAACACAGACTGTAAAGACAGACTGTATGTAACCTGTATCAACACAGACTGTATGTAACCTGTATCAACACAGACTGTATGTAACCTGTATCAACACAGACTGTATGTAACCTGTATCAACACAGACTGTATGTAACCTGTATCAACACAGACTGTATGTAACCTGTATCAACACAGACTGTATGTAACCTGTATCAACACAGACTGTATGTAACCTGTATCAACACAGACTGTATGTAACCTGTATCAACACAGACTGTATGTAAGTAACCTGTATCAACAGACCTGTATCAAACACAACACAGACTGTATGTAACCTGTATCAACACAGACTGTATGTAACCTGTATCAACAACACAGACTGTATGTAACCTGTATGTATCAACACAGACTGTATGTAAACACTATCATCACAGACTGTATGTAACCTGTATAAACACAGACTGTTTGTATCCTGTATCAACAGAGACTGTATGTAACCTGTATCAACACAGACTGTATGCAACCTGTATCAATACGGACTGTATGTAACGTGTATGTAACACAGACTGTATGTAATGTGTATTAACACAGACTGTATGTAATCTGAATCAACATAGACTGTATGGAAACTGTATCTAACACTGACTGTATGTAATCTCTATCAACACAGACTGTCTGTAACCTGTATCAACATAGACTGTATGTAACCTGTTTGTTACACAGACTGCATATAACCTGTATCAACACAGACTGTATGCAACCTGTATCAACACAGACTGTATGTAACCTGTATGTAACACAGACTGTATGTAACCTGTATCAACACAGACTGTATGTAACCTGTATCAACACAGACTGTATGTAACCTGTATCAACACAGACTGTATGCAACCTGTATCAACACAGACTGTATGTATCCTGTATGTAACACAGACTGTATGTAAACACTATGATCACAGACTGTATGTAACCTGTATCAACACAGACTGTATGCAACCTGTATCAACACAGTCTGTAAGTAACCTGTATCAACACAGTCGGTATGCAACCTGTATCAACACAGACAGTATGTAACCTGTATGTAACACAGACTGTATGTAAACACTATCATCACAGACTGTATGTAACCTGTATCAACACAGACTGTATGTAACCTGTATCAACACAGACTGTACGTAACCTGTATGTAACACAGACTGTATGGAACTGTATCATCACAGACTGTATACAACCTGTATCAACACAGACTGTATGTGTATATGCCTTTGAAATAGTGTCACACACTGCGATCGTATGTCGTATGTCGTGCAATCCCGTGTAGGGTTGATTTGTTTGTAAGAGTTTACGAGGATTGTGGCGGTTGTTTGGATTGTGAGGGTTTAAGAGGATTGCGGGGGGTTGTTTGGGTTGTGAGGGTTTACGAGGATTGTGGCGGTTGTTTGGGTTGTGAGGGTTTACGAGGGTTGTGGTGGTTACGGAGACTAAACGAAGACGAAATATCAGCTACTTACCCTGCCCCTCAAATCCTGTGAACTCTGACGTCATAAACTGTCTGCAAAGAGTAGATTTCCCAACACCTGTTCCACCAAGGGTGATAACTTTATAATATCCGCCAGGGTTACCACCTTGTGTTTCCTGTCCCCTGCCCCCACTGGGAGCCCTGCTCCTGTTCCCGTCTCCAACGGCCCCCGTGGACATCAAACTGTGGGTGCTCTTCTTCTTGAAGGAGTCCCCCCGGTTGATCACCCCTTTAGAAGTAGTTTTAAACGATCGAACTCGTGTTAACTTGTTCCCTTTCCCGGGACTCTGGTCCCCCGCCTCCCGGTCCGGCACCTCCAGAAGGGTCGGCTTGACCAGGGGCATGCTGTTCCTCCGGACCGGCGCTGGCTGGACCTCCAGGTCTTTACTGGGTGGTCTTTGTTTGGTTCGGAACGAACAGGATCTTGAATGTGGAGCGGATCCTGCTCCCAGGTGACTGCCTCTGTGGCCAGGGGCTGGGGTGGAGTCCCTGGAGTGAAGGCTGGCGGAGCTATTGCCACTAGACGCCATGCTGGGCCTGCGAGTCTTTTGAGAATTATACTCCTCCTCCATGGCGTCCTGTGTCATATCGGGCGTTAAATACTCCCTCTCTTCAATGTTTATCTCGGGGACAATCCTATCCAGCGTTGCGATCAACTGGTTTCCCCCTCAGTATCAATGTATAACACGAAGGTTTGGTTAACACAAAAAAGTGAAACGTGAAAACAGGAAAAATCACAGGATGAACAGACTCGCGGGACAGTTGGCTTTCCTTGCTTCTGATAATGTATTATATGACGTATTCAAATTCAAATTTCACAAGTAGGATTATAGTTGATCACAGGATACATATACACAGGTATACAAAGGCCCAACACACAGCAGCTAATCGCAACACACGCCCGCTCTGTTGATGGTTAGGGGTATCACGCAGGTACTCCGCAGTTCCGGCACTACCACTACCAACTATACACAGCGCCAGTGGAAGCCGCTGCGAACACATCAATATCCGCCGTACAACAAGAATCCCAGACCGTCTGTTCACTTCCACTGAGGCTGTTCTATATACATCCAGGCTGTGGTCACGTGGCCCTGTTAGTCATGGTGCTGAGATAAAGGTGCCAGGGTGATTTACAGGCTACCTGCAGGGAGAGCGGTATAACGCTTCCCGTCACTACTGGCAACCGCGTGTTGCCTCCCGCCAGCGGGATGTCCGGGACGCTCACAAATCAGTGTTATCAATGCTTTGTTTTCTTGTACCAGGATACCCGAGAGGTTGTTTTCTTACAACAAATACTAGGTTTCTATGTTTCATCACACCATGTGAGTGAACGAGTGAGTGAGTGAGTGAGTAGTACGCTCCACAAGCATGGCAGCAATGTCAAGTAAGATGTATGTACGTAGACAAAGCGTGGGTAAAATGTCATGTAAATATTGGTCGGATCAAAGTTTGAAAGAGTGCATGGATATGTGTTATCTGGTATCTGGTTAAATATGGTAAGTATAATTTAGAATAGTGGATCCATCTAGTTTGGTGGATCCATCTTTGAAATAATAGGTGGTCTCCCATTTGGATGGATCTCTTCGTGGATGGATCTATGGTTTATGGCTAAACGAGGGATTATGGCTGAGATCATTAATTTGACAACTCAATTTTAATTGCACTATTTCAAAGAAACTTGAATGTACCTACCTAATATTTTGTGATATACCCCTTAGACACAAGAACTTGACGTATCCTCTTTGGAATGCTTAAATACAACTTTCTTATGTATGTAAGCGGCAAAGACGTCCACACCTCATGAATTGCAGCTGCAAGGTCCTCTTTTGAATGTATGCGATAGGTGCGACACTGCCATTCTCTCTTAAGCCTATGCCACACATTTTCAATTATATTCAAGTCCGGACTCTGGGCTGGCCATGACATGCCTTTTAAATTATTTTCTGTCTTGTAAACTTGAACAGTTCTAGCCCGATGGACTGGGGCATTATCATCTTGAAATATGTATTGGTCATCAGGAAAATGACGAGCAATAACTGGCCAAATATTGTTATCTATAATTTCAACATATTTCTCAGCATTTATGTTACCTTCTACAACGGCTACAGTTCCCACACCATGGTATGTAATGCAACCCCAAATCATCAAAGATAGGGTAGGGGTTTGGGGAACACCCAAACACTGGGGGGGCCCACTGTTCACCAACTTTTCTCCAAATGAATACTTTTTCCTTTCCATCAATCACTAAACACTTTACACTCATCACTAAATATGACTTTGTTCCAATATGTGTCCACAGATCGATGTAATTTTCCCCTGCACCATGCTAATCTATTTTTAATGTTCACTTTCCTGATTCTGATTTTCTTTCGAATTACACGTCTATGAAATCCTTCAGAATACAATTTTCTTTGAACAGTTCTGTATGACACATGCTTGTTGTTGTCCTCATTAAATATGTTGGTAATATCCTTCAAAGATCGCCGACGAGAATTTTTTTAAATACGAAAAATTTTGCGCGAGTCCCTCTGAGTCAAAATTTTCTTCCTTCCCGTTCTTGGCTTGTTTTCCACAGAACCACGCGATTTATACCAATGAATCACATGATAGACAGTTGATGACGATAAATCAAGTAATTCTGCAATATTTGCAGGTTTTTTCCCGTGATCAATTTTACTATTGATTCTTTTACGCCAATGACCAATTCTTTTCGTTTTGGAGGCATCTTGTTTACCGCTGTGAATGTAAACAAGCAGACGACATTCTAACCGGAAGTTACGGTCACGTGACGCGCACGTGATCCACTATCTAAAAATATACATCGGTAAAGGTAACACAGCGCGGTACAACAATGCGCCGAAATAACGAATCGTTTTCTTTAAACTTTCCGCGGTCATTTCTGCCTTCATTTATGGCACAAAGCTGCAGTTGATGGATCTACTTTTAACACCGTGAATGGAACTTGAGTTAAAATAGTGAACATAATCGATGCTTGAAATAATGGATGGTTCTGTAGAAGATGAAAAATTATTTCTTTTGTTTTTTACTATTCACGTGAACACAACAAGCTTGCTTTTGACATTTTGTTTTAAGGGATCAAAATATAGTTTGGTATAACGGTCCTATGATGGTCTCTGTCTATCAAGGAGTACGTTGTAGTGCGAACCTTAACGGACGTTCTCACCGGGTAACATGGAGAGTGTCTGTGGGGTTTGTTGCTCTTGAGTTGGGTTCCTGTGAGTAGTGTGGCGAAGGTTTGATGATCATTCAATGGTTTGTTTAGCAACGTGTATAACGTCAAGGATATATAGGTATGTAGATAAAAGTCACATGTTTCTATTTGGAAGGGAGTTGAACAGTTTACAGGTGCACTGTGTTTACATTGTATTTCTAGTTATCTGTAACTTGACGTGAAGTTTGGTCTAGTTACGTCTGATGTGCACTGGTCTTAGTGACATGTTGAATAACTGTGCTGACTGTTGTATGTTATGCCTTATTTATGTTATGCCTTATTTCTTTCATTTATTTTATTATGTATGAACATATAACACAGTTTTCTATTTCTACAGTATCAATGTGCTGTCATTATCTATAGCTAAGGAACGTACCCACACCTGAATGCAACCTACTATCTGAATACATTGGCCATCAAGTCATAGCTAAATGGAAACTTTAAAGATACCCACTGCTCAGTGTATCTTACTATCTGGATACATTGGCAATCAAGTCATAGCTGAATGGAAACTTTAAAGATACCCACAGCTCAGTGTAACTTACCATCTGGATACATTGGCAATCAAGTCATAGCTGAATGGAAACATTAAAGATACCCACACATGAATGTAACTTACTATCTGGATACATTGGCCATCAAGTGCTGGATGGAAACTTTAAAGATACCCACAGCTCAGTGTAAATTACTATCTGGATACATTGGCCATCAAGTCATAGCTAAATGGAAACTTTAAAGACACCCACAGCTCAGTGTAACTTACCATTTGAATACATTGGCCATCAAGTCATAGCTGAATGGAAACTTTAAAGATACCCACAGCACAATGTTACTTACTATCTGGATACATTGGCCATCAAGTCATAGCTGAATGGAAACTTTAAAGATACCCACAGCTCAGTGTAAGTTACTATCTGGATACATTGGCAATCAAGTCATAGCTGAATGGAAACTTTAAAGATACCAACAGCTCAGTGTATCTTACTATCTGGATACATTGGCAATCAAGTCATAGCTGAATGGAAACTTTAAAGATACCCACAGCTCAGTGTAACTTACTATCTGGATACATTGGCCATCAAGTCATAGCTAAATGGAAACTTTAAAGATACCCACAGCTCAGTGTAGCTTACTATCTGGATACATTGGCCATCAAGTCATAGCTAAATGGAAACTTTAAAGATACCCACAGCACAGTGTATCTTACTACTATCTGGATACATTGGCCATCAAGTCATAGCTAAATGGAAACTTTAAAGATACCCACAGCTCAGTGTTGCTTACTATCTGAATACATTGGCCATCAAGTCATAGCTGAATGGAAACTTTAAAGATACCCACAGCTCAATGTAACTTACTATCTGGATACATTGGCCATCAAGTCATAGCTGAATGGAAACTTTAAAGATACCCACAGCTCAGTGTAAATTACTATCTGGATACATTGGCCATCAAGTCATAGCTGAATGGAAACTTTAAAGATACCCATAGCTCAATGTAACTTACTATCTGGATACATTGGCCATCAAGTCATAGCTGAATGGAAACTTTAAAGATACCCACAGCTCAATGTAACGTACTATCTGGATACATTGGCAATCAAGTCATAGCTAAATGGAAACTTTAAAGATACCCATAGCTCAATGTAACTTACTATCTGGATACATTGGCAATCAAGTCATAGCTGAATGGAAACTTTAAAGATACCCACAGCACAGTGTAACTTACTATCTGGATACATTGGCCATCAAGTCATAGCTGAATGGAAACTTTAAAGATACCCATAGCTCAATGTAATTTACTATCTGGATACATTGGCAATCAAGTCATAGCTGAATGGAAACTTTAAAGATACCCACAGCACAGTGTAACTTACTATCTGGATACATTGGCAATCAAGTCATAGCTGAATGGAAACTTTAAAGATACCCACAGCTCAGTGTAACTTACTATCTGGATACATTGGCCATCAAGTCATAGCTAAATGGAAACTTTAAAGATACCCACAGCTCAGTGTATCTTACTACTATCTGGATACATTGGCCATCAAGTCATAGCTGAATGGAAACTTTAAAGATACCCACAGCACAGTGTAACTTACTATCTGGATACATTGGCCATCAAGTCATAGCTGAATGGAAACTTTAAAGATACCCACAGCTCAGTGTAACTTACTATCTGGATACATTGGCCATCAAGTCATAGCTAAATGGAAACTTTAAAGATACCCACAGCTCAGTGTATCTTACTACTATCTGGATACATTGGCCATCAAGTCATAGCTGAATGGAAACTTTAAAGATACCCACAGCACAGTGTAACTTACTATCTGGATACATTGGCCATCAAGTCATAGCTGAATGGAAACTTTAAAGATACCCACAGCTGAAAGTAACTTACCATCTCGATAAATTGGCCATCAAGTAATAGCTGAATGGAAACTTTAAAGATACCCACAGCTCAATGTAATTTACTATCTGGATACATTGGCCATCAAGTCATAGCTGAATGGAAACTTTAAAGACACCCACAGCTCAGTGTAACTTACCATTTGAATACATTGGCCATCAAGTCATAGCTGAATGGAAACTTTAAAGATACCCACAGCACAATGTTACTTACTATCTAGATACATTGGCCATCAAGTCATAGCTGAATGGAAACTTTAAAGATACCCACAGCTCAGTGTAAGTTACTATCTGGATACATTGGCCATGAAGTCATAGCTGAATGGAAACTTTAAAGATACCCACAGCTCAGTGTATCTTACTATCTGGATACATTGGCAATC